AATAAAAAGAAAATGAAGGAGCTGCTCCAATGATCTCTGAAAAATACCATGTATAGAGGAAACCTTCCTCAGCAACTCCATAGTTTCCAGTCTCTCCATAAAACACACCATGCCCCCAGTATCTTTAACTAGATGCAGTAAGAAGTTCACAAAATTTGGAAATATCTGATATGTCATTTACACCTCTCCAATTTGCCTTGGCTGCCTTTATAGGGTTGCATCCTACCATTCTGTTCAGCTAAGCCTGGAGCTTTCCTACAGAGGAAGAAGCCATCCAGTGGAGAAAGAGAGTCTCCTGCTGGGAGAAGGCTCCTTTTGCCAGAGGCAGGCTCTTCGCTTAAATGAGTAGAGCCAACCTCTTTCAGATAGTACTCAAGGTATAAGCTTTCTAGAATAAAGCTCCCTTCATTCAATATGTATCATATTAAGCCGGCTTCGGCTGGGAGGTGGGGTAAAAAAATTGAAGAATTAATAAATAAATAAATATCAGACAAAGGGAGCTTTGACTCTCAAAAGCTTTTATCCTGGAAATCTTTTTGGTCTTTACAGCGGTTCTGGACTTGAATCTTGCTCTACTTAAGCATTAGTTAGGTACTAGTTCTCATTTACAAAGAGCTGTCACAAAGATACATTAGACAGTGATTATAATGTATTTATTTAATTAAAATATTTATTAGTTGCTTTTCTCCCTTGTAGGACTCAAAGCAGCTTATGATATAAATAGAACACAATAAAAACAGCAATTATAAAACCCCATAATAGTCATAGTTTAAAAATTCCAATTAAGACTGACAATAATGAAAGCTAAATCAATCAAAATGCAGTCCTAAATAAAACTGTCTTCAACTGCCTCCTGAAGATCAACCGCGAGGGGGCCAGGCACGCCTCCCTGGGGGGGTTGTTCCATAATTGTGAGGCTGCCACAGAAGAGGCCCTCTCGCGTGTACCCTCCAAACAAGCATCTTTAATTGGTGGGACAGTCTGGAGGGAATCTCTCTCCCATCTTAATTCCTGGGCAGGAACATACAGGAGAAGATGGATCTCCAGTCCCAAACCATGTATAGCTTTAAAGGACAAAACAAAATCTTTGAACTGGGCTTGGGAGCAGACTGGTAGTATTGGGGACATATGCTCCCCATTGCGGGCCCTGATGTTAAGAATGGCGGTGCGGGAGAAGGAGCCCCAGGCCATTAGAGCCGAAGCTGAGAACCGAAAGCTCTCCCACGGTTCCCTAGAATCCCAGACACAACACCCCACGGTTCTCAGCTTCGGCTCTAATGGCCTGGGGCTCCTTCTCCCGCACGCGGGACTGTGGCTAATTGGCCTAAGGAAGGGGGGAGTGCATACGAATACCCTATATCCCATTATGCTTGTAGGGGCGACGCCACTCTTAACAGTGCCTTTGTTAATGCATCTTCAATAAAATATAACCTTTCCATGAAGCCTGTACTCAGTTGTTGGCTGTGGAACCTGACACCTGACCAGCAGTCTAGCCACAGCATTCTGCACTAGCTGCAGCTTCCAAACACTCTTCAAGTACAGCACACTGCTATAGTCCAGTCTAGATGTAACTAAGGCATGGATCACTGTGGCTAGATCTGACTGCCTGAGGAATGGATGCAGTTGACTCACCAGCCAGATCTAGGCAAACACACTTGGAGCCACAGCAAGTATTCTAAGGTGACCACTGAGTCAAGCAGTACTCCCAAGCTGCAAACCTGACTTTTCAAGGTGAGTACAACCCTATCCAAGGCAGGGGAGATGTGAAATTCCTGGTCTGCCTACTAACCCAAAAAACCTCTGTCTTGTCAGGATCAAGTTTCAGTTTGTTCACCCTCATCCAGCCCATTACTGGCTCCAAGCACCAGTTCAGAACATCAACAGCATCCTTGGAATTAGGTGGGAAAGTTAGAGCTAGGTATCATCCACATATTGGTGACATCGCAGCCCATACCTCCTGATGATTTCTTATAGCAGCTTCATATAGACATAAATAGCCTTTTGAATTAAAGAATCTAGATAAATATTAAGCAGTAACATTTATATGATGCTTAAAAGTATAATGAGTATCATTAACACATAGTTTAGGCCTAGTACTAACACTGGAATTCACAACTCTGGTATATTCAAAACATATAGTACAATGTGCTAACCCTCAAGGTACAATGGCATTGTATCACAAATAGCTTCCTACATCTGTGCTGTTTATTGATCCAGACTTCAGCACAGCCAGGATAGATGACATGATGGGCAGCCATGGTAGATAAGCATGGATTTATAGACTGTTTAAAATAAAAAGTTGTAGACCCTACAGAGTTGTCAATAGCAAGTGCTATATAAATCTGTCTATGAGGGGTTTTCTGAGGCAGTCTATCTTATTAAGGCCTTCTTGGGCAGTCTTGATTCAGCACATTCTTAAGATAATAAACTATAAAGGCTCTAAAAGGAGACTTTCTAGTTGTCTTGGATCACTACCATAACAATGCATAATGACCCCTTTGAGGCTATGTCAACCTCCCATGTCAGTGTTGCTGCCAGACTGGCGCTCCGTATACACTAAAAATACTTGAGACATTTGTACTGAAATAGTGCATGGTGACCGCACTGCAAAAGTGAGCAACTTGCATGCTTTTGAGAATGCCTTCCTTGTTTGCTTAAGTGGGTCACTGGTGGGGCGAGTGTATGCTCCTCCCTAGACTAATGGCCCGCGAAATATCTGCCAACACTACCAAGTCATATTCTAATTTGACGATGACAACGTGGCTTAAAACCACTAATCACATATGAACATCACCAACAGGGAGCCATTTTAACATTTAGAAAAGCACCCAAACAAACAAACAAAAATGAAATGCCTTTCCCCTCCCCCGATTTTTGTTTGCCAATTGCACTGCAGATTTACACAGTTATCACCCCAATAGTACATTTCAGGTCAGAATGAGCAAGCTTTTAATTAACAATGGCTTCAAGAATATGAAGAGTTTGAACAACCAGATTTGAACCGAGTAGTTCAATTGGATCAATGTGTAACTAATATCCAAGAAAGAAAGAAAAAAGTTTACAAGGCTTGATCTCCCCTCTCCAGTTCCTCACACAGGCTAATCACATATGGAGTCACTTTATGTCTGGACACATGGTAAGGATAAGGGACCTTTCCCACCTAAATATTTAGAAGGGAAGAAATGAGGGGAAGCAAATGAAAATTAACCTGTTCTAGTGGCCTTGTGGGAAATGGCTGAGAAACCATAATAAATCTTGCCTCTTGTCATAACAGAGACAGAGATCAAAACTTGTAAATATGAGCAGCCCTAACTTGCTTCCCTCAGGCAGAAAGTTGGACCTGATTTCCCCCCTCTTTCATATAATTCCTATACCATGGTATCAAACAGGTTAGTAATAGCCTATTCTCTGTACTGGAAAAACCCTGCTGCAATAGAGAAGGGTGGATTTACTGACTATAGAATTCCTTTTGGGCTAACATGCTCCACAAAATCAGGTGTTTCTAGGATTGCCAACTCTGGGTTGGGAAAATCCTAGAGATCAAAGTTTGGGAAGGAGAGGAACCTCAGCAGGTTATAATGCCATATAGTTTACCTTCCAAAGCGACCCTCCCCCACTGGAAAACTGATCCGTGTAGTCTGGAGATTAGTGGTAATTCCAGGAGATCTCCAAGCCCCAGGTGGAAGTTGGCAATCATTTTTGTGGTAAGGGATGTCCTTTAGACCTTCCAGTACCCAGCCAGAAATATGGGAAGTATCTGTGGAAAATGGAAGTATCTTTTCCCCCATGTCAACAACAGAAAGTCAGTCATGCAGACTCCCCAACTCAGGAAGGTCTTGTAAAAGTCCACGGCTAACTATGTTGACCTGTGGGACGAACTATTCTGCATTTCTGTAGTCAGGGAATGGATGCAGTAGAAACAGAACATCTGATTCTCTAAACTAGATCTATACAGACACGTTCTCAGTTTAAGTGTAAATATTAGATAAGCATATGGAGCAGAGGTCCATCAGTGGCTATTAGCCACAAGGTATAGATAGGGACTCTGGGGCAAGTGATGCTCTGTCATCTTGGTGCTTGGGGGGGTCAACAGTGGGAGGGCTTCTAATGTCCTGGCCCCACTGGTGGACCTCCTGATGGCACTGGTATTTCTGGCCACTGTGTGATACAGAGTGTTGGACTGGATGGGCCTTTGGCCTGATCCAACATTGGCATCTCTTATGTTCTTATGTTCTTATTAGTTCACATGTTTCCTGCCTTCTATCATTCCTCTCGCCTCTTTTGACAGTGGTGCTTCTGATGGCATAAGAGGCAGAGATGGGTAATTCTGCTTGTTTCCTGCTGCTGATTAGGGGTGCTCATCTTCTATGGTTGTGTTTGTTTGTTTGTTTGTCCACACAGGTTACCCAACACCTGACCACAACTTTTGAGGCTCACGGGAAGTTGCTGGGGGGGAAGGAACGTGAGAATGATTTGCTTCAACCCACACCTTTGCCAGGCAGTGAACAGGGCTCATCCCATTATCTTAAAATGGGGTATTTTCCATTTTATGAGTATTGTAACTTAGAATAGCATTTTGACTCACATACATATCTACTGACTGCAATCTTCAACCCATTTACGAGGAATATGTGTATTTTGCTAGTTTAGTGCTGCTCAGAAAATTGTAACTAAATTAGTTGAATGTTTAAGCATATGCCTGTAAGCCAGGTTCCTTCTGTGGTTATGGAAGAATGACTGTAGGGCAATCCATGGGAGGTCTGTGTAGCTTTTTAAAGAGGCATATTTACCATGCCCAAATCCTTGTAGCATCACAGACCACTCCTTAAGAAAGTTACACCCTTCTAGACCCATGAACTTTAACAGTGGCCTCAGAAGGGTGTAACCCTGTTTAGGATTGCACTGTTCAAGACAATTACTCTCTTTTAGCATGACCCTTTAAATCACATGGATGTCTACCCAAATGCCCAAGGAAACTGTTTCAGGTAATGGTAACTCACCTCTCCTTCCCTCGGCCACGGCCTCCCATTCTGTGTGTACTTGCTTTGATTCTGCCGTTTCTTTTGCCCTCCATCAGCAAATTTGCACAGCAAAGGCTCCGTTGGGGCTGTGAAGACAAGAAACCCAGTAGAAAAATTACGCGAGAGAGGTTTATACAGTTATGAACGATGGATAGATAAACTTTTTCACACTCTTTCATAGTACTAGAACTCAAGGTCACCCTCAACCAACCAAAAACATACTGTCATTTTTGTTGGTTTTAAATTATATGTTGTCGTGTGCTGCTTTGGGTCTCTTTCAGGAGCAAAGCAGCATATATAGATAAATAAAAATGTGATGAAATTGTTTGATAGTAGATTCAGAAAGCCAAAGGGGAAAACTTCTCCACACAACGTACAAATTAACATGGGAAATTGACAACCACAGGATGCATAATGGCCACTAGTTTATATAGCTTTAAAAAGGGGATAGATAAATTCACAGATGCTGTCACTATCAAGAGCTATTAGCCGTGAAATCACTATGGAATCTTCAAGCAAAGGGGCAGAATGTCAGGGGACAAAGAGTAGGAAGGACCTGCTATTCTACATGTGTACTTCCTGTAAGCCACTGTTGGAAATGGGATGCTTAAATAGATAGATCCTTGGCCTGATGTAGCAGTGCTCTTCTTATATTCAGTATAAGATTTCTCCATTAGAATGAAGACATTGGTTCCTCTAAAGTTAGTTACATATTCACAACTGACATTAGCGAAAGAATAAACACTGCTGACTGGGGGGGGGGGGTCAAGCCCAACTTACTAATCTTTTCACTCTTTTTGTCTCTCTGTAGCATATGCTTACATATTTTGGCAAGCAAAATAAATACAAGTAGATGAAAGAAGACTTTTGCCAAACAATCAAATTGGCTTAGTTCCCCCTATTAAATCTTTATAGTTTAAGACAGCTGGCATATGACCTTCTTTATGCGTCTGAGGTCTTTCATCATGAAACAGTCCATCCAGTCAGTGGATTACTATTCAAATGAATGTTCAAAAGACTGTAAGTTACAGCTTTGTATGAAAGACTACCGAAAGAAAAGATGGAACAAAAATCATTTCTACTTTGTCAAATTTCAATCTGTTTTCTAAAAATGTAGTTGTCAGACATTGCTTATAACATCCCCCACTCCTATTGTGCGTCCATGTGTTTCAGTTGGAGAGTTTAAATTAAAAGGCACTGAGATCAATTATAATGCAATTAAAGTGAATGGCACAGAAAATCAATTTGTGCCCCAAATACCGAGGGGTCTAAAGACCCCAAACACATACTCTTGACAACACAATAGCTGCATTATGTTGATGCTGCTATTAAAATAACATGATGATAATCTGTCAGTATTTAGTTCTTTGTGTTTGCACCTCTGGGAAGTTGAAAGGTGATGGGGTGTTTCATTTTTTTTTAATTACAAGCTACAAATACACACAGGTAAAATTCCAGGGTCTGTGATCGTTTCAGAGGGTAGCCATGTTGGTTCTGCAGTACAACAGCTGGACTGGCGTCCAGTAGCACCTTAGAGACCAACATGATTTGCAGGATATAAGCTTTTGAGAGCCAACGCTATATGACGAAGGGAGCATCGACTCTTAAAAGTTTATACCCCAAATATCTTGTCGGTCGCTCAAGTGCTCCTGGGCTCGAGTCTAGGGTCTATGGTGGCTCTCACATAAATGGCCAGTGAGTAAAATGACACCTGCTTTGTGCTGATGCAGTAGGTATATTACAGGATATTCTAAAACAGAAAAAAGTATTTAAACAAATACACAAAAACAATGAATAGATGTTAACCTTTCCATATTAAGAGTCCCCCCCCCCCATAGGAAGTTCTATAATCAAAAGGTAGGTCAGGAAGGGAACAAAGACTGGACACTGGTAGCAACTGGTAGGTCAGAAGTCCAATGTAAGGAAAACACAGTCAAAAGAAAAGTAACCTAGACAAGACTACAACTAAAAGGAAAAGACAATGAACAGTGCAATCTTTAAAAAAAATTACACTTTTTGGAGACCATTCAATTCAATGCATTTAGTAACTCTGCTTAGCATTGCACTCTAGGTCATGTCCAGGGAAATAGCACTTCTAGTAGAACAGGATCAACAGAAGGCCACCTTCAGGAAAATGCAGCCAAAAGAAAGAGAGAATTCAGGAAGAGAACAGCTATGGACTAGTGGCGCCAAAAACTTTGTTATGAATGTAACATATAAGGAATTTAAACAACATAATGTACCTGACAGAAAGTTTCATATACATAAAATGCTAAAATATACTTTCTATATTGTTACAATATTATTGTTGATTTGTCTAATTTCTATACATGTTGGGTATTGTGGGGGGAAAGCTAATTGTGACAAAGAATATCTTTATTATTTAATGTGATTATTAACACTGTAGCACTTACTGAACTCCCATACCTCCTCTACATTATAAGCAGTACCCCTTTAAGAAGGGGCATTGCTTATGATTAAGCACATTATTTTTGTATGGAACTAGAGTCAATTATGTGATTTTTGTCTTAACCAGTGGCTTAACCAGGGTCCATTTACCTCATTAGTAAAGAGCTATCCCTGACCATTAGAGAGTTAAATTGTACCCTATGTCAACTTCAATAACGTTAATTTCTGTGAAGCATCTGGTCATGTGAATCCAGTGATGTACTGCATACAAACACACGCAACAGTCTGCAAGATTATGGAGAAGATTGCTGACACCTACAAGGTGCCACTTGTTTGTTTACATCAGCTTTTAATGTCAAGAGCAGGGCCCCCCAAAATGGTACCCATGGGCACCATAGTGCCCGTTGATACCCTTTCTGTTGCTCACTAAGTGTTTTTAGAAAGTGGGTGAGGCTCCTGCTTAGCAGGGCTTCTGATTAGTCACTGGAGATCTGATTGCCTGTGCAAATTACACCGTTGTTTTTTCCCCCAGAGGCAGCTAACACCACAGTTGTTTTATTCTTTCTCTCACTCCTCCTTCCTAGTATATTCTTAAAAATTACTCCTCTTGTCTCCTGCACTTGATCTTCTTTTGTGTGTGTGTGGCGCCCTGACTGCTCTTGCGGGGTGTGCCCGCCCTCCGCCGTGGCTCAGGGGACGAGAGGTGAACCCGTGGCCCGGACTGGGGCAGTAGGTGCGGCCAACATTGGAGCCTGAGGAAGGTATAGAGCTGTGAGGGGGCTCGCCTCAGACGCAGGACCATCAGGTGGTTGCCTCACCACCTTAGCCCGCGCTGAGTCTGGTTGGTCTCCGGTGTGCTGACGCTATCTCTCTCCGTCAGCACCCGCCTCTCTCCAATAACCAGCTCAGCCCATCCTCCCCGGCTTGCTGTTCCCTCGCTTTTATTTCCTCCTCCAGGCTCGGCCCACCCACTGCCTCGGTCCCGCCCCCACCTAAAACTGTGGACGCGGAAGTTCCCGTCACCGCCCCGCCCCGCCCCTGCTCCCCGGGGACACAGCGTGCCGGCGCCTCTCCTCTCGCCGCTCCCCTGCCCCGCACCGGGGCGCGCAGCTGAGCTCTCGCCCGACCACCCCCGACGCTTCCGCCCTCGGACAGGGCCGTCTCCACTTCCCGGGGCTCCCCAACGGGTCGCTCCGATGCCCCGCCGCCGTCGGTGGGCGGGGTTCGACCTTGCGGGCTGTCTCGGACGCGCTGCAGGGCTCGGGTAGGTACTGCACCGCTTCTCCGTGTGGCGGGTGGCTCCCGCGGCTCCGGTCGGGGTTCGGGGGGGCTTCCCCGGGGGAGTCATGGCGGCCGCCGTGACAGTGTGGCTCCACCTTCCAAGATGGCCATTTTGCGGCCGTGCATACCACTGTGTGTCAGAATTCCAAAGGTACCCTCAGGATCAAAAAGGCTGGGGATCCCTGGTGAAGAGAAAATATCTCTTTTATTGGATCTGCAGTATTTCCAGACATATCTACTTTGGGTTAAAAGGTGGCTGGAAATACTATGAGAAACTGACTAACATGTCCAATATTTCAGCAGCTATGTTCTAGATAAATCAAGCCATTGAAATACCGGGGGGGGGGGGAATCCTGGGAAGAGAGCAAGCAGTAGTTATGATCAATTTCCCCAATTACTGGTATATTTAAAAAGTAGGTCAACACAGATTATCATTTGGAAACTTTTTAAAAAAAGGTTATAGGTAGGATTGCCAATTGCCTGCTTCTGGTGGGTCCCTGTCCACCCTCTGGTGCTCAGTGGGGGGATTGGAGATGACATCAGCACAATATAGATATCCGGAGGACCTAGACCGTCTCACAATGCCATTCCTTGTCTCTGCCGATTGATCCTCCTGCCAGTAACTGCGGGATGCATTGTAAAATATATATGTCTTACATAGCTTTTGATAGAATAAAGTTTGAGTCCAGTGGCACCTTTAAGACCAACAAAGTTTTATTTTGGGTATAAGCTTTCATGTGCATGCACACTTCCTCAGACACAAAGCTTTTGATAGTTATCTCGCATTGCCATTATAGGCAGAGTTATATGCTTCTAAGTCCATTTAAATCAACACTGCTTAGAAAGGCACTGTAAATCACTTCAGTGCATGTAGGGCTGGATCCATCCAGCTTTTATTCTGGAAGAAAAGGAAGGGTATGATCTCTTTGAGCACCAAAAAACTCTGTGCTGAGAATTGTGGGGCCTGTATATACAAAAGCCATTGAGGATGGGGCTATAGTATGGAAGATGAATGGGAAAGGTGGATGGTTCCAACCCATATTTTTTAAAGCCGCCCTGCCAATGCAATAGTGAATATGTATTTGATTAACATGTATTTGATAGGGTTTAACTGATTAATCCAGTACATGTAAATCATTTTGTATAACTAACAAACCTTCAATAAATAATTTCTCTAAATAACAGTGTAATAGAATTTACAAAAAGATACCACTCATTTGAATGGACAGCGATATCTAATATTTTTGGTTCTGAACTGAGTTTCCATTTGAAACATTTTCGAAAGGGTAGCTGTGTTAGTCTGTTGTAGCAAAGTAAAACAGAAATGAAGTGGCACCTTTTAAGACAAAGGAATACAACAGTCTTCTTTCATCATAAAATTCTGCACTTCCTGGCC